GGTTGTCCTTGTCCCTGTAGATTGCACGGAGCGCTGTGGTAACACATGGCACAGGGTTTTGGTGATCTGTCTCCTAACCCCAGGACACTTGCCCGGGTCTCTCTCACTTTATAGCCTGGATGGAGGTGAGTCCCCTGACCCCAGAGCCCAGCCTGACCACTAAGCCTCCACCTGCAGGCCCAGCAGGAGCCTGGATCAGCCCCTGCCTGCTGGCCAGACTCCTGACCCTAATCCCATGCTGGCACACAGGGCCCCCTTTCAACCCCTCTGTCACAAAAGGCCCTTGTTTGGCTGCGGCTGGCCCTGTCCCCTACCCCCATGGCTGTCTTAGTTCTCTGCCAGGAAGTTCCCTGTGGAGCAGATGGGTCCCCAGGCTGGGCCAGCCTGCCCTTGTCCTGCAGGGGGAAGAGATTGGAAGAGCCCCAGGGTCCCCTGGAGGGGGGGGGTTGCTGCACAAATCTGGGCTGATTTCTGACCTCTCAGGGTGCTGAGCCTCATCCCAGCACTGTGTATATCCATCTCACTGAGTGGCCGAGGCTGGCCTCCAACTTGCGATCCTCCTGCCTCAGCCTCCCAGGCCGCCGGGAGGACAGGCGTGGGCCACCGCAGCCTGGCCCTGTGCACTCTTTGAATGGCCAAGGGGAAGCCCAACTGTGCTCAGGGTCCCCACCCACAGTCACCAGCAGCCTGGGAGGACACTGTCGCGTGGACCCCGGGCAGGGAGCCTCAGGGTGTGGCCAGGCTGCTCTGCCGCTTCTGGTCTGGAGGCTGGAGGCTGGTGACCGTGACCTCCAAGGTCCCAGCTTCCGGATCTGTAAAATGGGCCTGGAGACAAGGCCCACCCAGAGGTTTGGCGGCAGGCTGGGTGACATCAGAGGGAGCTGGTCCCCACGGGCCCCCTCACTGGGGCGCCTGGAGCAGCCGCATCTGGCTGAGGGTGGAGGGGGCCTCCCTTGGAGGCTGTGGCATCTGGAATTCCGGGCGGGGCCCCGACATGCCGGCTGCCCACCGACGCCCCCCTCCCGGGAGGTGGCATCTGGTTCTGTTCAGCGGAGTCACTGCGGGATGTCCCTCCGGGAGCGGGGGCGGGGAACAAGGCCCTTTTGTCTGGAGGCTGCCTGCTCCCTGCGGCTGGGCTGTGGGTCAGAGCTGAGGCCGGCCATGGGGCACCTTCGCTGATGGAAGGAGGCCAGCTTGGTGGGGAAACTGAGGCACAGAGGATGGGACACTCCAGAGAGCCCAGTATGTCACCGGTGGCGGCAGGACTGGGACGCGGCCCCCGAGGTCAAGGTCCTGAGCTGCTTCTCTTCCCCCTCATGTGGGCTCCGCGTCACCCAGTTATTTATTTTTTTTTGTCCCGGGGTTGAACCCAGGGGTGCTGGCCCCCTGAGCCCTGTCCCCAACCCTATCTGGTATTTTATTTACAGACAGGGTCTCACTGAGTTGCTTAGGGCCTTGCCATTGCCAAGGCTGGCTTTGAACTCTCTATCCTCCTGTCTCAGCCTCATCCCCTGCCCTATCTGGTATTTTATTTAGAGACAGGGTCTCACTGAGTTGCTTAGGGCCTTGCCATTGCCAAGGCTGGCTTTGAACTCTCTATCCTCCTGTCTCAGCCTCCCGAGCGCTGGGATCCTAGGTGTGCGCCACTGCGCTCGGCCAGCCTCAGCCTTTCTGATCCTGCTTTAAGCCTTGTGTTTGTATACTTTGTTCTGCTGCTGGTCCCAGCTCGGTTCTGAAGCCAGGCGAGGCTCACTGGGTCACAGCGCCCCTGGCAGAATCTGGCCTGGCAGGTGCTGTGCACACAGGAAGCAGGAAAGGTTTGTGAGGTGAGTTCAGCACCACAAAGCTGGTTACCCCAGAGAAATGGTAGAGACTGACTGTTCTGTTGGAGCTTTCTCTAAGGGCTGGATGGGGAACATCCCTGGCTCTGGGGGCCCTCGCAGCCTCAGCTACCTAGTCTTTTCACAACCTTTGCAGAGTGTGAAGACCATCCTTAGCTTCTAAGACAGGGCAGTGGACGAGGCTTGCCTTTGAGGCTAGTGTGTCAACCCCACTAGTAAAGGGGTTGCTGTGGATCATTTAGGGAAAGGGCTGAGGGAGGGTGAGGCCGACCAGCAGGCTCTTCCCGTGCTCAGTGCCTCCTGTTACCAGCCTTTTCTCCCCCACCATCTCCTCTCCCCCTCCCCCTTATTCTAGAAGGAATTAGAAACACTGTGGCATAAAAAGTTAGCAGCTGAAGCACAGCAGTTGTCGCCCTTCAAGGCCTTAAGAAACTTCAAGTGGAAGTTCCTTCCGAGTCACAAGAGAAGTGTCAACACCTGGGGCCGGGGGCAGGAGGAGGGACCTCTCTGGTCATCCCTGCAACTTTTTAGGTACACCCCACTTGAGGTGGTTGTGGTTTGGGGGCTGAGTTCCCAGGAAGGCAGCGTGGCTGGTTCCAGGCCTCAGAAGCACCAGGATACATTTAGTTTAAAAAAATGACAAGTTTGAAAAGAGTGCTCAGACCAAGTGTTCCATGTCCACAGCACACGGTGAAGGATTACTGCCACAGGAGGCATAGATCACGGGCCTCGGAACGCAAAGTTTGAGCAAAATGTGGAAAGAAAGAAGACATTGTTATTCCATTTAATAAAGATCCAGAAAAGAATTTTGACCAACTTTTGCCTTTGAGGGGCTCACAAAAAAATATTGTGACATCCTAATGAAATCAGAAAAAACTGTAGAAAAATATGTAAAATATATGCATGAACAATATAAATTGTGAACAACCAATAAAAAAAAAAACAATATAAATTGTGTAAAATGTTTGGATAATTATCAAACTTTCATCCAGAGTTTCCTTAGAACAAATTTTTTAGGTTGCATATACTAGAATAATATCTGCCAAAACACATACTGAAGTATCCTGTTGCAGTTTGTGCGAATTATTTAAAAGAATGTTTTACCTAAATACATAAATATATTTGTTATCAAAGTAAGCAAGACTCAGAATTGGTGATCATATAAGAACTCTCATGTAAAAATAAGGTGATATTATTGTAACTAGTATTAAAAATTAGTAAACAGCCCTCCTGGCAAAAGTCCCTTACTTATATTTGCTTATTACAAAGCAATAATGGTTTATTCTTTTATAATCATGTATACCAATTTTCTTCCCAAAGTATTTTGATAAACCTCTTCACACTGTTGTACCTTTTCCTCTTATGAAATATACATCCATAAAAAATGCATGGATTTTTTTTAAATTTTTTTTAT